GGCGGGGGCCCCCCCCGGGTGAGGGCCCCTGCCGATGACCGACACAACAATTTGACAGTGCGTGTCATCAGTCACCTGGCCCTGCAGCTCCTCCACAGCCACTCACAAATCCTCCTAGAGGAACACCCTGCTTATGAATCGAGAAGAAAACAAAGTCCTGCAAATAATCAGCAGCGGGACAAGAACCCTGAATAAGGGAGTGACGGGAGTGCCACCAGAGGCCCTGTGTGGTGAGCAGATGCCACCGCAGGTGAGCAGAGGGCCCTGGCATGGATTGTGAAGTAGGGGAGATGCCCAGACCTCCTTAGCAGTGAGGCAGCTGGAAGCCTCACCGTGAAACCTGGGCCTAAGTGTTTTGGCCACAAAAAAAAAAAGTTGTCATCATTAAGCATTGGAAGTCGGGGCCAGCTGGTGGGGTGGTGGTGAAGGTGGCTAGATCCCACGTGGCCAACTGTGATTCAAGTCCTGGACCTGGTGGCTTGAGAAACATGCGGGGGACTGGGTGTGCATGCCCCTACTCCCGAGATCGGGGGATGGAGGAGAAGGGACTGAGCTGTGGCCAGGAGGTGGGGTGAAATCACCTGGGGGGTGTGTATATGTGATTTTTCACCCTCCTCCCCTGACAAGCATGTGTCCTATAGGGAAAATAAAAACGAGGTGCAGGTTGCTTAGTGAGTTCAAATCACAGCTTGTCGCTGGCTGTGTGACGTGGAGGTTACGGCACCACCCTGCCCAGTGTCCCCATCTCTGAAGTGGGCATGATCACAGCGTTTACCTCAGAGTTGTTGGAAATTAATATATGTAAAGCACTTAAGTGAGTGACTGGCTTATAGTAAGCAAATGTCATGCATGTCATTCTCTTGGGAAAACAGAATTGATTTGCATGGTCTCAGCCTGAAAATGAAAAAATGTGGCAGAGAAGAAAGAGTCGAGAGCCCCAAACTTAGGGGTGAAAATCAAGCCAGGGCAGAGTAGGGTCACCAGCACCCCGCTGTCTGCTTCTAGGGCTGTCCAGTCGGAGGGGTGGCACCTGCACTCGGCGCATGCCCGCCTTCACCAGCTGTTTAATTGGATTGCCTCAGCTCGCAGTGCAGGGACCAGAGAACATGGCTTGGCTTTCACCGATGAGAGCGGTGGACTTCTTTTAGAGATTTCTGCTGTTGAGCAAGTGCGCTCACCAGAAAGAGAGAGAGCGCGCGACAGAAGCAAGAAGCCACCCCCTAGGAAGGATGGCCATCCCTTCTCCTCCATTCTCCTCTCCTCCATTCTCCTCTCGGGATCTTGGGCACGCATGCACACACACCTGGCATGAGTTTTAAGGCACTGGGTCTGGGACTTAAACTGCAGTTGATTATGTGGAAGTCCATGCTGGTCCCAAGGATGGTGGGCTTTAAAAAAGCGGTTAGTTCTAAACATCTGACACGCATTTTCCCACTTAATCCTCCCAATGACCCTCTGAAGCAGGGGTTGTGACAATCTTCAGTTTACAAATGGGGCAACCCAGGCCCTGAGGGTATATTATGGCCTGAGGTTGCCCAGCTGGGGAGGGAGGGAGCCCAGGGGTCCTGCTCCAGGGTCTGGGGGAGAAGGTGCTTAGCGAGGTTTTGTGACGTGCTCTTCTGCCTCCCGCATGCCTACGAACAGAGGTCACAGCCTCGGATGCCCACCCGGGGTCCCCACGTACCTGTCTCTGGGCCGTGATCCAGAGCGGGAGCACGCCATTGTCCCACCACTCGGTCTTGTTCTGCGTGGTCTTGAAGGAGTACTTCAGGCCCGTCTCTGTGTTGAACATCATGTTGTGAATGACTCCGTGGTCTTCAATCCAGCGACCTAGGGGATGAAGGGGGTCAATAGGTCAGCTCGGAACGCGTTCCTGGGGCGTGGCTGGCTTTGAGGGCGCAGGCTGCGTGATTCCACAGGGAGGAGCTCGGGGGCGTCTCTGGGTGGTCGGTGACGTAGGGATGTTTGCAGTCTGCATGGAGTCTTGCCTGCCAGCTGGGCTTTCCTTCTGGAAGGATCCAGGCAGGGGGCAAACCGGAAAGAGGACGGAGTCTGGAGAGGGTAAGCTGGCGTATGTAAGAGCTGAGGCGGAGTCGGGTCGACTGATTATTTGAATTGCTTTTGATTATGCTGTTTCCCCTTAGATTCTGCCTTTCTTTGCATTCACTCTTGTGCAGAGGGTGGGGCCTGCGCAGCCCGGGTTGGTGTGGGTTCCACAGGGGAGCCAGGGGCTGGTTCTGGAAGGAAAGACATGAGAAGCCTGCAGGGCGAGCTTGCCCGGACGTGTCCAGCCCTGGGAAAGGGAAGTGGGCGGGGAGGAGCGCTGGGAGCCCTGGAAGAAAAGATTCACCGATCCCCGCCCAGGGGAGTCAGCACCGTGCAGCACCGGACTCGGAGTGGTGCGGAACACACGTCCCCAGCCCTTTCCTACAGGCAGCACCTCCGTGCCCGAGGTAGTGCCACCCAGTTCCCCGCTGCTAGTCACACCTACACTAGTCCCCCCGTGCTGACTTCCAGCCAGGCCTTGGAGCTCTGTCCCCATGGCCGGTTACTGATTACCTTCTCTAGTCCCTGAGACTTTTAGAAAAAGGGCCAGGGGCTAGCAGGTGGCCTGGTGGTTAAGGCTCTGGATCCCACATAGCCAACTGTGTGGTTCGAATCCTAGACCTGGGGCTTGAAAAACGTGCCAGGCACATGTGCATGTGAGCCCCAAGTCCCAAGAGGAGCGTGGGGACGCTCCTGTGGCGTGGTCATCCTTCCTGGGGCGTTTTCTCATCTCTCTCGCGCTCTGCCTCTCTCCATTGAGCACGCAAGCCCTATAGCAAAGGTCTTAAAAACACACAAAAACTTAAAAAAAAAAAAAAAGAAAAGGAAAAAAGACTAGACTTGAAACAAGGAATGCCTAAATTTGAACATGGGACCTGCCTTTACTAGGTGTTTCGGGAAGTCCCTGATTCCCACGTTGAGTGCAAGTTTAGAAAGCCGGTATTCGGAGAGGCCCGCCCTCCCCTCCGGAGTGGTGACCCCTCCGCGCCCAGCTGACAGACCTGTGACAGTCCCAGCCCTGCACACTCGGCGTGTGCACTTGCCATCATTCGTTTTAAACAGAAAACCAATCCCCGCAACCCTCTGCTTTCTTCCAGCAATACGATTCCTATCTTTATCTCTCTTCCCTCAAGTGAAGAAGAAAACCAGTTCCATTTGGCCCTTCAGCCCTAGGGGCCATGGTGTGCAATAAATGGAAAGCCTAGGAGGCTAGATGGTGGTGTGGTGGTGAAATACGACGTGCTGTGAGGCTGACCGTCATGGGAAGGTTGCTGGTTCGAGTCCAGAGACCTCCCTGTGTGTGCCAGGCACACGCGTGCCCATGCTCTGGGTTGGGCCAGAGCCGGAGGGGGCCGGAGTGCTGAGGCCTGCTGGGGGTGCTCTCTGCCTCTCGCTCATGGAAGAAATGAATAAACTTAATAAAACAACACAAAGAAGAAGCTTAAGAATTGCACGCAGTGTGGCGAGGAGGCGGGTGCGGGGGCACGTGGGACCCGATTCTGAGAGGGCCCCACTGGGGCAGCTCCGACCCACACTCTGTCTACACTCCTGGTGCAGTTGGCCTGGCGGCCTGCTTGTTCTCGCTGACCTGGCCCCCTCCTCCCTGGGAGCAGCAGAGGTGAGCACCGCCTGCCCAGCTGGCCCCAGTGACCAGTGGGGTGCCATGGCTGGCAGGGCAGGGTGTGTGGGAGGACCTTGAAAGGTGTCGCTTCCTGTCCTGCCTAGGCTGTGAAGGGGGAGTCACAGGAACTTCCAGTCAAAGCAGTTCAGTTAAAGTGGGGAGACCGTCTCGGGGTGGCTTCACACGGCTCCAGCCGCCTTCGTCCTGCCCGGAAAGAGCCCCACTTCGCTGCTGGTGTTGAGGGTGACAGGAAGGCCAGGCACCCCCCGGGGGGAGTTGGGTCTCAGAGGGGTTGCGCAGAGCCAGAGGGGCAGGGCTCTGTCCTGGGGCAGGGCTCGGGGTTGGAGGAGAGTGAGCGGGAGTCCCGCGGGGAGTATTGGGAGGCGGCAGAAGATTCATTCGCCCTCCTGCCCCTGACCTGTGCTGGGAGACAGTGGGAACTGGACGGGACGGGACAGAATGGAACAAACCGTAACAGAAAGAGGAGCAGTTTTCTGCCCTGCCTGAAGCCCGAGTCCAATGGGAGAGAGCCGCATCCAATAGTCACACCCGCGAACGCGCGTCCTGCTAAGTGGCCCCAGGAGAGCACCTGCCGGTGAGGGACCGCAGGAGGCCCGAGCCAGCTGGGAGAAAGAGGGGGCCGGGAAGGTCGGGAAGGGCTCTGCGGTGTATGTGAGTGGGCCCCGATGTCTCCGAGCACCCAGGAAGGCCAGCGTGGGGGGGAGACGGAGGCGAGGGCGGCCTTGCCTTTTCTGCTGTGCCGGTTTAGCTCCGCGTAGACAGAGCGCTCCGCAGGTAGTTCTTGCGGGAGGGGAGCCCGGGAAGCCCCGCTGGGGAGCGGGAGGCGGGCGGGAAGGGAGGCCCCAGCGGGAGCAGCGGGGTTTGGGCACCGGGTCGGGCGCTGGGAATCCGTGGAGCGCGAGTCTGAGTTAGCGCCTGAGGGTGGGAGCAGCGGGCTCGCAGGATCCACGCTTCTTCATGCAGGGCTGACTCTGGGGTGAGGAGGGGTGAGGCGTGCCCTCCAGTGTCATGGAATCATGGCCCCAAAGACGTGCATGCTCTAACCCCCAGAACGGCGGAAGATGCACCCTTGCGTGGCAAAAGGGCCTTGGCGGGTGCCATGAAGTGGATCTCCCAGGCAGAGACGGTCCTGGGTTCCCCAGGTGGGCCCCATGGTGTAATCCCAACGGTCTCCACAAGAGGGAGCCAGGTGGCCTGGAGTCTGAAAAGTGAGGACAGAACCGGGCTTGGGGTGATGCTGTGACGCTGAGGGAGGGCTGCAAGCCCAGGTGTGCAGTGGCCGGGAGAAGCTGGAAAAGGCAAGGAAAATCCTCCCCTGGAGCCCCAGGGAACGCAACCTGCCGGCATATTGACTCTGGGCGAGCAAAACTGATTTCGGACTTCTGAGCTCCGGAATTGCAAGAGAGTAGGTCTGCGTTGTTTGAAGACCCTCCCGTCTCCAGCGCCATTCTCCCACACCCCCCACCACCACCCCGTGAGCGCCTCTCAACTAAGGACACTGCATGAGCTTGTTCCCTTTGTGGGTAGCACTATTCCACGCCCCGGGGCATCTTCACTTCTTTCCCTCCTGACAGGAGGACGGGAACTTAGACCCCTCCCAGAGTGAGTTAGGGAGTAACAGACGCAGAAGTGCAGGCGGGGGGTGTGCAGCCCGTGGCCAGCCCCTCTTCAGACTGCAGGTGTAAGGTGAGTGTGCGTTTTACCCTGCACTTGGCACTTCATGGTCATCGCAAAGGCCAGGGTGCTTCATGCCTCACTTTGCTGACTCACGGGGTGAGGCGAGGACAGAGCATCAGAGTGGAGCAGGCCGGCAGGGCTGCAGCTGTTCTGAAATTAAGAAAGGCCTCATGGGGCCAGCAGTGGTGTGCTGGTTAAGGCGCTGGACTGCCACATGGCTGACTGTGGTTGGAGTCCCAGGCCTTCTCTCTCTCTCTCTCTGGTGAGCACGTGTGCCCCGCAGCAAATTAAAATAATAGTGATAGAGAAGAAGATTCCTCATGGCTCCTGAGAACTAGTGATTTCAGGGAAAAAAGCAAAATGAAGATTTCTTACTGATAATTCAGCCTCCAGCCCACAAACTTGAGTGGTAGGGAGCTCCTCTAGCCTTCTCTCTATCTCTGTCTCTGTGTCTCTGTCTCTCTCTGCTTCTGTCTTCTCATTTTTTGGTAATTTTTCCTTTTAAAAATTTTTAAAGGTAAACTAGTGATTTTGCACCACGTGTTTTTCTATTTTGTGCGTTTTAAAAAAATAATTGTTTTTAGTTTTTCATTTTTTTCCTTCTTTGTTTTCTCTGTTTCTTTGTTGTTGTTCTCTCTCTGTTTCCTTTTCTTTTTCTTTGATCTCATCTCTCTGCTCCTCACTCTCCATTCACTGTGTTTCTAGACGGATCTAAGGGAACTGTAGCCGAACATCCAAATACTGTTAGGGTTAACACATTCCTCGATAGCCACTGAGTCTGCTGCGCAAAGGGACCACAATGGAACGGCAAAGCGATTCCAGATCAGCTCTTCCTGCACGCTCCTGAACGCTCAGACTGAATTCAATACAGACACACAGAAATAAGAGTTCAGAAACTAAGAAAATGGCCAACTTAATCATAGGGACAAGTCTGGAGTTGAATATTATATCCCAGAATTGAATCGGAAATCAACCACAACAGAAGATGAAGTACACGAGACGGAATTGATGAAGTAGAATTTTATGACTTTTGACTAAAACATTGCTGATTTTCTTTTAGGCCCTGTTGTCCGGTTTTAAAGATTTGTGTCTCGTCTTGAGATGTCGATAGGTTTATGTACCTACCATTTGAACAGAATCCTAACTTGTTTCCTGGCTTTAAGTTTTAAGCAAAGTTCCTTAGGATTTCTTTGATTTAAGTTAAAACTGCTTTTCTTGAAATTACCAGCTGAACTTGCTATTGAAAGTAGATTATTTAAGAAATTGTGTGATCAATACAATGTGGGGGGAAAAGGAATGGAAGGACAACTGTAGACACCAGAGATAGTGTGAGAAGAGGGTGGGAAAGGACAGAGGGTCAGACATAGGAGTAAATATATATATATATGAACCTAGAAATGGAAAATTTTTGACGATATTTTGTATGCTGTGACAATGCTTAGGGAATGAATGAAAATTAGGTTAA